AGAGAGAGAGAGAGAGAGAGAGAGAGAGAGAGAGGAAAATACTTAAGGTGGATAGAGATTAGTAGAAATGTATTAATAACAAGAAAAAATATATATCGAGTAATACTGTGCAATCACAATGTAGTATTATGACGGAAAGGCAATCATTGCCTGACCGACCAGTATCTGTATGACGTTCTCCTACTCTCTCTCTCGCTGTCTCTCTCTCTCTGTCTGTCTCTCTCTCTCTCTCTCTCTCTCTGTCTCTGTCTCTGTCTGTCTGTCTGTCTGTCTGTCTGTCTGTCTGTCTGTCTGTCTGTCTGTCTATCTATCTGTCTGTCTGTCTCTTTGTCTCTCTCTCTCACTATCCCTCCCAGTCTCTGTCGCTGTCTCACTCTCCGTCCCTCTCTTCGTCTCTCACATCCTTTTCCTATCTAGTTTGTCCTCTTTTCTTCCTCTCCTATAACGCCTTAATGAAAGAATCTATCTAATTACAACTTAATGTAATTAATTACTGTAGACAGCAATGGGTCTAAAAAAAGTTCCATATATATTGTGGTGATTGCTTTGTTATCTTTGCACCAGTTCAAACGAAATATCAAACAAATACAAATAAACGAAGTGGCAGTTAAATTGTCAATATATTTTTAAAAAATGAACGGACAAGTTCAATAAATATCAAGATAAAAAGAATTCAATCAAATTTGAGTGACACACAAACCACTTCTACCATATTGTGTATTTGTGCATTAACGAACAAATTTATCTGAAACTTGCATGGCCAAATAATCTCCGGGAAAGTGGAGGCTATTTAATTGTATGCTCCAGGGGTTGGATATTTATCTACACACACAAGCTTGAAATTTCTTGGATCAATGTCTTGGACTTTTTGTTCAACATCAAGTTTCAACTATTCGATTAACAGAGGATTGTTCCTGTAGACTCTGTCTTTCAATAAACTCCAAAGGTAAACATTCAACTTTTGATCGATCCTTCAATAGACACTCTGCCTGGCAATGCCAGTTTTAAATTGCTCTTTAAATCACAAATAATATTATACTTATGGTTAATTTTTTAAACAAATTGATTTGTTCGAGGCTTTGTTCAAATCGATGTAAAGACGACCTAGTTATTTTCCATTAGATATGTTCTCCTTATTTCGACACATGGTACCTGACTTCTTCTCTGAGGACTGAGGCTGTTCAAAAACTCCTAGCACCCCCCCCCCCAATCCTTTTCCTCCATTAAAAAGAACAAACAAACAACATACAATAAACAAAGACAAACAAACAAAATCAAAACAGGAGGAGAGCATGTACCTCTACCTCAGGCGTACCGCACATCAGACATCCGTGCCTTAAACACCAGCCCTGATCGAAGCCATGTATCTTGACGTAAAGCCTTGAATCTTTGTGTAGGCGTTTTACACCCCCATAGACACAATTTAAGTAATTCTGGAGGAAGGCTTTCAAATCTGTCTGTCTGGGCCAACCCGGATAGAGAGGGATACAGCATCCTAGAAAAACACTTAACCGAATGTTGGGAAGAGGGATAGTTAACAGCATATTGATCGTGTTGGAAAAAGGCTACGACCGTGGCCTCAACATTTCTCCACCACCGGTTTCAAATTTGGCGGCGGGGGAGGTGGGGGTGGGGGGGGGGAGTTGTCATCCTGAAGGGACAGAACCTTGAAGCCTCTTGGGATCATACCTCAACAGTTTTAATCATCCAGATGAGTGTTGAACAAATCCTCTGTTGCAATGAAAACAGTACTGCAATTAATCCGAGGCATAGGGGGACGCAAGAAAGACAAAGGCGCTTTTAAAGGATGTTTACATTGAGACCCAAGGATAAGCGGAGAACGGATTGGTAACCTTCCCCGTGTATGTGGTGATAATTAAGGCCAAATGAAAGAGATCACAGCTCAGCGACTTAGGCAAATACCCCTGCTCTTGATACATCCATCACTAATAGTAACAGCTGCAGCAGAAGCACCTTTTGCTAGATGTTTGTTCCGCTACAATGTACTTTTAGAGATTGGGATAAAAGAGAAAGAGAAAGAGAGAAAGAGGGGGGGGCAGAAAGGAGAACGAGAGCGAGAGAGAGAGAGAGAGAGAGAGAGAGAGAGAGAGAGGGAGAGAGAGAGAGAGAGAGAGAGTGTGTGAGAGAGAGGGATAGAGAGAGAAAGAGAGAAAAAGAGAAAGAGAAAGAAAGAAAGAAAGAGAGAGAGAGAGAGAGAGAGAGAGAGAGAGAGAGAGAGAGAGAGAGAGAGAGAGAGAGAGAGAGGGCACAAAGAAAGAGAGAAGAAGGAGGAGGCAGTAGAGAAAAAGAGATATATAAGAGATAAGAAAAGTTAGAGAAAGGAAAAGCGAGAGATGAAGAAGGAGTTAGCTAGTTGATATTCTATAGTCTATAATAATGTCTGGGCATATTATTCACAATGTTTGATTCCTACTAGGAAGTGAGATCAATACACTTTGTCATAGTCATTGTCATTAACGATCTGGAGCCTATATGGGTCCCTGGGGCTCTTTTGTTAACAAGACAAGACCATGCCATTTCCTTCAGTCCTCAACTTCCCGCTGGGGACAGGTGAAGGACGTTGGCGTCAGTCTATATCTTAGTACCATTCTCCTGTTTCTGACACACACGTTCTTTTGATCTTCCTTTTAAATCATATCTCACCCAACTACTCAGTCAGGGTTGGCTGTCACAGGAAGGGCGGGAGAAGCCCCCCCCCCCTCCTTCTACATGATTAAAATTGTGTAGATTTGAGCAAAGAAAAACTTTTTTACAATCACTCAATTGGCTTGAAAGGACTTAACTCCGTAAAAAAGGACTCTTCTCTGGAGGTCGAGGAGAGTTAGTAGGAAGAAATGTGTCGACATATCATTATCTCGGTTGACATAAATAGTTTGTTGTTAGTAATTCTTCTCACAGACAACTCACTTGTGTCTTCAGCTGACGTCTGTCTAACTGACTGTGTTCTGGCGACAGAACGGTGGCAATAAGAGAACGGCGTTTTTTTCTGCCACCCTCTCTTTTTTGGCTAATTGCACAACAGTTCTATTTGGAGAACTGAAGGAGAAAAAAGGATGTTGACATTTTTGGATACTGTGGATACTTTTATCATCATGTCCTTCCTCACGGCGCAAAGAGTGGCGAATACTAAGCAACGATAATACCTCATATCATTTTGGGGGAAAAGTTCTTTACAACTGGAAAATTAATTGTATTTAAATCCAAACAGCATCAAGGTTTAGATAATATAGGAGATAGCCTGCTTCGGCATTAGCAATCAGAGGTGAGAGAGAAACAATATCCAAGTGGAAAGACATAGAAGAGACTTTTATCCTCCTGAATCCAACTATAGTCTTTCGTTTGCTTTGGGAAATAATATAGTACTATGATTTCATTAGGAAAGGACGATTAGAAAACTGTGCTGAGCCTCTAAGATTCAAATGCTACCTTTTTTTGTGAACAATTGAATACTAGTCTTCCAAGTGTGAGTATTGTGCAATCCAAACACAATGTTCACAATCGGTAATAATGATAATATGATACCTTCAAATGTAGTGCAAAAGTCTCGTGCACTACACGTGCACGTTAATCTCTGTGAATTCTGAATAACGTCGTATCTCAGAAACAATCTGAAAAGCGTTTTTGTGCTCATCTTTCGACTGTGTAAGGACGATATGATAAATTATGAACCGCTGAAACCATGAAAATTTTTGATATAATTTATTTGAGTTCAGTGTTGCCGGCAAAAGAGCAAGGGACTAAAGCTCTAGTGTCTATTCTGTTGAGCTTCTACACGTCCCCAGCTTCGGATGAGATTCCATTCGACTTTGGGACATTCAAGAAAAAAAAATGTTTGAGTTCTCAGTGGGTGGTGTCTTTCGGTGACGACGCACGGTAAGATCAAATGCTCGAACGGGTGGATTTGGAATGCATGACATAAAAGAGGCAAAGAGGTCGGGCATTTAGGGCAAGTGCAAAATTGAGTGTGTTCAGATCTGTTTGCATACTTCAAAGCTCTGTCCACTGCCTGTCAGTTTATCTCTTCCTGCACGCGCTCTTCGTGTTATATTTTTATACTTTACTTTTTGTGAGAAATAAATAACTTTCTTTGTCTCATCGATCTCATCCTCGTTAGAAAGACAAACGTTGAACACCAACGATAACGTTCTAACATGTCTCTCAACTCTTGGACTTTCAGCACAAACAAAAAAGAATGAAAGTCTCGCGCGAGTCTGATTGGTTAAGTCTGAAGTCAAATACCTTGAATGTGAAGACGAAAATAGAATCGCCATGTGGCAGCCGATGAGTTGGTTTATTCTGCTGTGGGCTGAAAATCTAGTCTAAACTGTTTGCGCTCACCACGTAAACTGACTTCAGCTCTGACAAAAAAAAGAGAAAAAAGTAAAATCGCTTAAGTATGTGGTTGGCGGAAGTTTTGAAGACTTTACCGTCAAACAAGGACAGAAAAGAAGGGAGAACGGGGAGTTAACTTGACGAAAGAGCACAAAAGTAAAGGAACGACAAAGAAAAAACAAAACCTGAAGGGAAAAACGAGGAAGGAAAGGAAAAATGGAGACAAAGAATCGGGAAACTATAAAATAAAGTGGTAGGAGTTGAGAGGAAAAAAGGACCCTCCCCCCCCCCCCCCCCCCAAAAGAAAACAACCTCAGAAAGAAACAACAAAACTACTTCCATGTATAGTGTGCAACTTTCCCGTAAACTCCCCGGTTGCATTTACGAAAACGTATGCGTGATGTTAAAATACATAGAAAGCCGTATATTTCTATTTTAGAAATCTCATCTAGAATTTCTCTATGCTGGACAGACCTTTCACCATCCGGACGTGCACAAAAAATTTCAATTTTATGTTTGACTCCTGTTATATTACACAACGGACATACTTTACTCACAATAAACTGAGAATAACCCTCAATAACAATGATATTATTACAAAAGCTTACTTTTCTGAAAGTAAAACCTTTACTGCTCTGTCAGATCTAAAAAGTTTGTCTGGCTCACAGATGCCCCCGCAGTACAGAAACTGTGAAGTATTTTATGACCACCCCCCCCCCCCCCCCCCCAAAATAAAAAAAAATCTATAAAAAAACAAAAACAACCACACACACTCACGCAAAGAAGAAGAGTTACAAGACGAACCGAAAAAAGACATGACATGAATAAAAAAACAAAAAAAACAAACAAAAATCAGTAACATCCCCCAAACCCAAATCCAAACCTTAACCCCAATGTTGGAAACTAAGACGATGGTAAGAAGATCAAAAGATTAGGAGAAAAAAATGATGGACATAGCAAATCTGCCTGTTCTTCCTTGTCACCAAGTGGGGTCTCGAGATTTTCTCAATTTATTCTGCTTTCTTTTCCCTTTGAGATGAAATCCTCCAGTCTGGGAAAGAGTAGCATAATAGTGGGCAGCGTCTCCAATCTGCTCGAGTTTTGAGTGTATTGCTAAATCCACAGGGTCGGATTTTGTGAACACACTTCCAGGATTGAGCTGTCTCCTCGTCGTCAGTGGTTCAGTATTCATCGTCCACACTTTTCTAAGAGTTCTTCGAGCGGACATTGTGGTCACGAACTTAAGTGAGAGGATATTCTGTACCCACCCCCCCACCCCACTTTCACCATACAAGGTTCCTCTACATTCCTCCCCACTCCCCCTCCCCAGCTCTTCTCTCTCTCGTTTCCCCCTCCCGAATCCCCCTAGGTCGCCCCTTGTTCTCCCCTCCTCCTTTCTGCTCCCTTCGCCTTACATTTTTGTTCCTCCCATCTCGTCACCACCTACCCCCACCCCCCAGTCACCCTTCCTTCCCAAGGTTTGACCACTTCCCTCTGAATTAGGAATTAGAACAAAAAGGGCGGCAGTAAGTGCAAACAGAGTACCCGAGAACTGTCGAGACAACATTTGCAAATGAGGAGCATAATAATACTATGTGCTTTGTAGATGATGTTGAACATACTTCTTATATAACGTTCGATTGGCAGCCTTATTCAAAGGAGGACACCTATCAAACAAAGCAAGCAACGGGTATCTTTAAAACGAACTAGCATATTAATTTTCTTTTCCTTCTAAAATATTTAGTAGTCCCACTTTTCTGATGTTTCTTTTAGAGGTGTTGAGCTCAAGAGTTGTTACAGTTTGAGGAGGAAACGTTCTCGATGTCCTTGAGTCCACTTATCGTAACAGAGTTTTGTTGGCATACACTTGTGGGAAGGAATGCAGTGCTCAGATTCCCCCACACCCAACAACTCTTCCATCTACCCAAATACACATACACACCCACACCCACACACACACACACACACACAC